TACGTCAGTCACAAAAGGACAAATACTGCATGATTCCACTAACATGAGGTACCAACTATAGTCAAATTCATAGAGACAGAAAGTAGAATGGTGGTTGCCAGGGCTGGGGTGACAGGGAAATAGGGAGTTACCACTTAATGGATACAGAGCTTCAATTTTGCAACATGAAAAAAGTTCTGGAGATGCATGGTGGCGAGGCTTGCATAGCAATGTGAATGCACTTAATATCACTGAACTGTACACTTAAAATAGGGAAAATGGAAAATTTTACGTTATATATATTTCACTACAATTTTTAAAAATGTAAAAACTGCAGCAGAAATAAATGTTAATCAAAAACAAACTAGATATTCTCACATACCTAAGACTTGGTTTTGTTATGTTAAAAAAAAGAGATCAAAAATTCTGAGGGCAGCCTCGAGATTAGCATCAAGCCTAGACTGCATCTAATGAAATGTTAATGAAGTGAAAAGGGACTTTCTTACTACTTGTGATTCAACTTTCTTTAATGTCATATCCTTCTACTCATCTAAAAATATGTGAATACCCATAAAAGTCCCAAAATTTTGGAAACAGTAATCAAAAGTATTCCCCAGTGATGAGTCACAATTCTAGAGCTACAATCCTTTTAAATCCTTGCTAAAAGGTTATTTCTTGATTAGTACAGGATATTCTCCAGTGAAGATACTAGCTTTGCTGGATTAAGGCTCCCTCTTTCACAATGACATCTGATGTTTAAAAATTGCTTCATAGTGTATTGTGGTATTAAATATATTTGAGCAAAGGATAATTTATGATATTGCCTCTCCTCAGGTTAATTTTGAGATATCCTAAAAAATCACATACAGTTATCTCCAGGAATCTGTGGCTAAATGATTCCAGGACCCCCACCCTCACCTTCATCCCACAGATACCAAAAATCTGTGGATGCTCTAGTCGTTTATAGAAAACAGCCTAGAATTTGCACATAACCTATGCACATCCTCCTATATACATTAAATCATCTCTAGATTACTTATAATACCTAATACAACGTAAATGCTATGTAAATAGTTTTTACACCGTATTTTTGAATTTGTATTTTTTTAATTGTTGCATTGTTATTTTTAATTTTTTGGTTGGTTGAATTGTAGATGTGGAACCTGCAGATAGGGAGAGCCAACTGTGTGTGTGTGTGTGTGTGTGTGTGTGTGTGTATTACATATATATATATTGTAGATGTGGAACCTGCAGATAGGGAGAGCCAACTGTGTGTGTGTGTGTGTGTGTGTGTATTACATATATATATAGAGAGAGAGAGAGGTGGGGGGAAGGAGGAAGGCAGAGAGAAAGAGACAGATCACGGCAAACGTCAACTTTTCTTCAGAAAAGTATAGATGTTTTATGGAGCTAGATAAAAGAAAACAAGTAAATATTTACCTGTGATACGTGTCAAATTTGATAAAATACTAGTGGTATTCAAAAACATCAATACTATAAAGCACTTTCTAAAAGAATTAGAAAAATTCTTGTAGGGTAAAAATTACATATTCAGTTATAAGGTACGGCTTACTACATAAAATTATTTTTTCAAAGGATCATAGACTTTATAAGACCTGAAATTATGACTTAATATGAAATACCCACTAAATCAAATTATTTCTAATAGATTCTATCCCAATGTTCCTTACGTTGTCCACAATAGGTTCCAATGTATCCCTTCTGGCACTGACAATGGTCATCTGCACAGGTCCCACCATTCATGCATCTCACGCTGCACTGCTGAACTGCAAAGGACAACAAATATAAAAAGATCAATCACCAAAGTTATAGCATCTGCGAGAGTTATAAAACTGTAAACCAAATACCCAATTCAATGACAAATATCTTCTACAAAAGTAAATGTTACAACCCAAGCATAACTTTATTTATTATTTGCCATAGGCACACACACAGGCATATGTTATAACATGTTATTTGGTATGTTTTAAAATACATTACACTTTCTTTTTTTTTTTTTCTGAAACTGTATTTTTAAAAAGATACACTCTCAATGTTAAAGAAACTAGATAGAAGGTGACTAGTAGCCTAGTTTCCAGCACGCAGGAAGCAGTCTGTTCCCCACCCAGAATGCAGGGGCCACGTGCCTGCCATGTGGGTTGG